GCGCTGAGCTCCTTCCCAGGGGGCGCCCCAAACAGGGATCTCCGCCCCCCCTTTGCCATCCCCACCTGGGAGCTGTGGGTCATACTCTTAGCTCGGCCAGGCCCCCCCCCAAGCCTCGCCCCCTCTCCTGGCTCCCAGACCCTGAGCTGCCCGCCCTCCCATGGACGAGGAAAGTTCTCTCTCTTCCGGGGCATCTTCGTTCTATCCCCGCCCCTGACCCCTCCCCAGCACTCAGATGAGCCCAGTCCCACCCAACCACGCCCGAGGCCAGTCCTGGGAACCCTCCCACGTCCTGAGGTCCTGGCGCAGGAGTGGAACCTGCCCCACGAAGAAGAGCCAAAGGGTCAGAGAAGACCCCTGCAGCAAACCGGGCCCGCCCACCAGCTCTTCTCTAGCCACCACCCCTGCCCTGCCCAGGCCCCCGGCAGGGTTCCCTGGGCTCGCGCTCCTCCCCGCGTGGCCAGCACAAGGTGTGTGTACGTTTTGTACCTCCGCCCGCGACTGTACATAGTGTATGAAAGTTATTTAAGCCTCCCGCCCGCTGTACAGTTCTGTTCCCAGACCGGATGTGTGTGCTCTCGGAAGTTGTCATAATAAAACCCGAATGACCAGGGCTGTGGGGGTGTGGTTCCTGGGGGCCCTTCTCAGGTGGGGGTCGGGCCTCCAAAAAAAATAATCAATCCCTCTCCGGCCTAAAGCAGGAGCCCCGCCCAGAACCCCCAGCTCGGCTTGCACAGCCTCAGCTCCCAGGACGAGGGCAGGTGGACGTTCCCAAGAACCTCCGGCTCTGGCTTCAGAGCCCCTGGCAGAGCCGGACAGGGCGGAGGGGTGGCTGGGAGAGGCCTGGGCCCAGGGGACCGCTGCTAAGGGGTGGCCCGCCCACCCGCTGGGCACGGACTCGCGTGGAAAGGCCAAGAGACCTGCCCCACAGCAGTCCCTCCTTGTTGTTGTTAAACCTCACCTGAGGGTATTTTTCGTTGATTTTTAGAGAGAGTGGAAGGAAGCGGGGGGAGAGAGTGAGAAACATCGATGTGAGAGACACAGGTATTGGTTGCCTCCCACACCCATCAGGCCTGTCACCCAGGTCCGTGCCCTTGACCGGAATCGAACCCGGGACCCTTCAGTCCTTGGGCCGGCGCTCTATCCACTGAGCCACACAGGCCAGGGCAGAAGTTCCTCCTTTTATTGCGAAGGTGGCGCAGGTCAGGCCTCCACCTCCAGCCCAGGGCTCAGGAGCCGCCCGCTCT